GGTGCGCGCGGGTCCCCGGAGGCGACGCTAGGGTCGACGGGGGCGACGCGACGTGCAGGGTGGGGGCCGCGAGTGCTCCCCAGGGCGCCGCGACGGACGGGCGGGGTGCGCGCGGGCTCCCCCACGGCTGGAAACCGCCGCGCGCCTCGGCGCGCACGGCGGGCAGGGAACCGCCGCACGCTCCGAGCGCGCGGCGGGATGAAAAATTGAAGGCCGCGCGCCACGGGGCGCGCGGCACAGAGTAGGGCAGCGGAAGCAGTAGTGGGGCCCACAGGCCAAGAGCGTAACCGCTCTGATACCATGTCGAAATAGTAGGTACAGTGAGAGGCCATAGCTAGGAGAACCCTAGCTAGGCAAGAGAGAATTGAACGAAAGAGGGGTTTGCACTAGCAACAACGGTGGTACAAATAGCTAACCCTAGAAGGGCTGTACTCGCTATAGAGCACCCCACTGCAGGCTAGAGCATAATATTCTGACAGCGGACGCTTGAACATGACCCCGAGTCGCACCTGCATATCCCTCTACCTACTTGTTTGTTCAAACTAGCATATCTTCTTACCAAGTGTCGCAAATGGTACCAAGACCTTATACGGTAGCATGCTTGTAATATAGTGCATGTCTTAACGATCTAGAGAAACCATGCTAAATAAACCAAATTGCCGCTGGAACAGCATCTGATGTCACTAGCATATCCACGCACCTGCTCGCTTGTTTGAAATAGCATATTTTCCTGTAAAGTACTGAGAATGGTACCAACTGTTGATGTCATGCTTGTAATACAGTGAATGTCTCAACAATAATAGAAAACCACGTTAAAAATCACAATGAGACGTTTGAACATTTGCCAAGGCCATTTTTTAAATGAGTGTTTAAACGTTTTCCTTTAATAATATTTCTCTGAGTAATTGGTCATAGCACATCACTATACCAAACATCCCTTGAGTATAATTCGTGCTTTGGTAATCCAACAAAATATTGTAAACATTGAAGTACGTGTCATGTCTATGTACATTTAAATGTGAAAGCAGAGTAAAGTGTTTTGAAGTAAACCTGTAAGTGGTACAATTGCTGTGACGCGGTGCAGTCAATCTGAGACCGCCGCATTGGTTATTCCATATATCATCCGCTGCACCTGCCTGTCTTCCTATTGGCTGCGACATTGCCATTCCCATCCTATTTTACAATATACACGTCAGACTGAGTTCAATTGGTGCAACCCTAATACAACACAACATTTTGGCGTCAAGCTTTATTTGTGATTGGTGAGTGTATTTCGTCGCACGCTGACCTCTTGCACAGCAGAAATTACGGAGCTGCGCTGGATACGGAAGTCCAGTGCATCTGGGCAAAAAACTGCAGCTGCGTTGGATTTTTCAGCTCCAGCCATCCGCGCTGTTGCTCCAGCTCAGCTCGCGCAGCTGTGATGCGCTGGAGTTTGCAACTCCAGCGCATCTGCGCAACTGCAGCACTAGCACCTGTGATATCTCTGACTGCTTCCAGCGTAACTGCGTAGCAGCGCCCACCCCCCCTCCCCAAGCGCCCACTGCCAGTCCCTCCAGCACTACACCAGCGCAACTTCTCGAGCCTTCCCCCCTAGCACAACTTCTCGACCCTTCCCCTAGCGCAACCCAGCGGAGGGCAGCAGCAGCTGCAGAGCGGAGAACAGCAGGTGCTGCCCGGAGGGCTGCAGCTTGCGAGGCTGCCAGAGGGGGAGATGGAGACGGAGTCGAGCAGAAGGGTCTTGCCGGCGTGTTCGAGTGGAGAGGAGCACCCAGACCCTATGCTGACACCCCCGCCCCGCATCCCGTGCGAAACCTGTTATCGCACGTTCATGGAGAGAGGAAAGGCCACACGCCATATGTCGGTCTGCAGGGCAGCGGACGCCCTGCGCCGTGTTCAGGCGCTTGGGTTGACCCGCAACGTCACAGACAACTTGGACGGCGAACCTCCGCCACCACTGTGATATCAGTGAAGAGGTGTGGGCCGCAGTTCCCACATGGGACTGGGAGTCGTTTTTCGGGATCGAATTGGTGCCAGGGAGAATCATGCGTCGCATCCCACAGCGCGCAAGACTGGGGGTGCTTGATGCACTATCTTGTGTCCTGAAGCGGCTTCAGTCAAAGGCAGCAGACGAGGCGGCATCCTTGGTCATTTTGGCCTTCCCTCGTCTTGGGGATTCCAACTGGGCAAGGCCAGGGGCACAGGGCGGCAACCAGGGAGCGGTTGGAGAAGTTTTGGGCTGGGGAGTGGCAGCAGCTGTTTGAGTTGGCGCTGGCGGCAATGCAACCTGCAGCTCGTCCTTTCTCCTCCCCCCCCCCCCCCCCCCCCGAGCATGACCCTGATGCAGTGCGCCTGGCTCGCTGCCGTACAAGGTGCAAAGTGGGAGAATGGAGTCGGGGTTTGGCGTGTCTTACCGCTGGTAGCATCGCTCAGCCCTCTCAACACATGGTGGACGCGCTACGGGCGAAACACCCATCGTGCGAGGCCGCCATTCCAGAGTGGGTGCAGGAGGAGACAGTCGAGCCTTCCCTTATCCCACAGCTCTCAGTGGAGGTACTTGGTCAGGCGATCCACTCAGCGGCTAGGGCGTCCGCACCAGGACCGTCGGGGTGGGTGACGGAGCACCTGCGTGACGCTTTTCTCCCCGAGCCCGCATACTTGCCTCACCTGCTTGGGGTCTTCACCCAGTGGACCAAGGGAGAGGTAACGGAGCGCGTGCAACCTTGTGAGCTTGTCGAAGCCGAATGGTGACGTTCTCCCGATGGCTATAGGCGAGGTGCTCCCCCGCATACTATCTTGGGCCCTATGCATCGTGCTTCGTCCGAAGATGATGTCGCACTTTGCTCCGTGTAACCAGTTTGGAGTCGGGTCCAGGTCGGGAGTGGAAGTCCTCGCACATGCCTTTCGTTCTGCCATCTCTACTCACCCGTCGTGGTGCGCGCTGCAAATTGACGTGGCGAACGCTTTCAACTCCTTCCATCGGCGGGAAATGTTTGAAGGTCTTCGACAGTTGCCTTTCGCGGGATCGATTCCATTTCTGCGTGTCTTCTACGGCACTTCTAGCGACCTCTACCTCCGTGCGGGCCCCTTCGTCGAAGCTTTGGCTTCCGAGCGGGGCTCGAGGCAAGGGGACCCATTGGGGCCGTTCTTGTTCACGTTCACACAGCAGCTGGTTATGGAACCAACCGAACAAGAATTCGCCGACCTACTCTTTCTCAGCTACGCTGATGATACGTATATCTTGGAGCCTACGGAGCGAGTGTTAGCAGCCTATGAGGTCTTGCTGGAACGATTGGACGGGCTTGGTCTGGAGGTGCAGCCGCATAAGTGTAAGCTATAGGAGTGAGGGGTGGACCAGGAGGGAGAGGAGAGAAATGAGACCGTCCCGCCCGGCATGCAACAAACATGGACGGGGCTCACCGTAGTAGGGGTCCCCATTGGGGAGGAGGACTGGGAGGTGGCTAGCCTGCGAGGCCGGCTGACGGAGCTGCATGCACCTGTCCCTTGGCTTCCTCTGCTTGACCACCCACAGATTGCGTCCCATTTGCTGGCGATCGCAGTGTCAGCGCGCCCGATTTACCTCACACGGACGATGCCTCCACGGCCTGAGGTTGTGGAGGCTTTCTGTGACTGGGACACGAAGCTTGAGGATTGTTTTGAGCACCTGTTTCCAGATAGTACCTGGGATCACGATTCGGAAAAGTCGCAGATGGCCCGTCTACAGCTGCACCTTCCTGTCAGACTTAGAGGGTTTGGCATTCGATCTGCAGCTGACCTTAGTCCTCTGTCGTACACATGTGGCTGGTGCCAAGCAGTGAGCGATGTGGCTCGGTTGGGGGTGGCAGGTGAGGAGCGGATGTTTGAGGAGTTTTTCCACACGTCCGAGGCTATGACCTTGCTGGATCCCTGGTTTGCGAGAGCAGTGGATCTGCTTCCACAGTCGGTCCGGCAGGAGATGCCACCCCTTGCCTTGTGCACTGCTGACCCCCCTGTGCTGCTTTTCCCCACACAACACCGTCGCTTAGCGGTTGAGAGCCTGCAGTCTCTTCGGGATATGGCCCACGACGATGCCACCCTGGCCCCTTTGACATCCCTTCAGGGCCCGAGGGCAGGGGCGTGGGTCTTTGCCGTTCCTTCGCACGAGGAGGCTACCTTCACCGCAGCCGAGTGGAGCATCTGCGCGTCCATGCGCCTAGGCCTCCCTATACAGCAGCTGATAGTGGCCGGCAAGTGCGCGTGTGGGTTTGAGTTTGCTGATCCCTCTGATCCGCATCATGCCCTCCGCTGCAAGTACCAGTATGCACCTTCTCGTGTTTACGACGCGGTTAAGTTTGTGGGGGCGAAGATAGCTAAAGTGGCGGGTGGGGTCGTGACCATGGAAGACGACACGTTGCTGCCAGGGAAGAGAGTGGATGTGGCGATTCGGAGACTGAGGGAAGGGGAGGAGCATGCACTGGAGGTTAGTGTGGTGGACTCTATCTCGTTGTCAGCACAGCACCATGGACAGATAGGCCGCAAGGTGGGTTTTGCCGCGAGAGAGAGAGAAAAGCGGAAGGCGGCGGACTACAAATTGCTTCTGCAGCGGCATAGGGGAGTGCAGTTCACACCTCTCATTGCTGAGACATGGGGATGCTTGGGGGGGAGTTTCGGACGGTGGCTTAAGGAACAGGGCGACGCGCGGATTGAGGTAGCGAAGACGAAAGGGGCGGCGAGAGCTACGGGAAAAGGTTTCTCGGCTTTGCTCGGATCACTTAAAGTGGCCATAGGTGTGGCTTTGCAGCGGGCTCAGGCGCGTGTGATCTTGTTACGCGCGGCGTCGATGATGAGAGGCCCAGAGGCTGTTTGGGTGGAGCGGGAGGATATTGAGGAGGAGGTGAGATGGGATGCTCCGTGGGCGGATGCACCCTACTTGGTAGACATGCGGGTTTAGAGGGTGGGTTTAGGTGGGGGGGTTTGGTTAGATGGGGCGTATTGTTGGGGTGTCTCGATAGGGTGTCATGATGGGGTTCCCTATGTGTTATGCTATTGGGGTTTTCTTGAGGCTGTGTTTTCCGTTTTTCTTTCCCTTTTCCCTATTTTTCTTCCTTCTTTCTTCTTTGGCTCTTTCTCCTTTTCTCCTCTCTTTCCGGCCCCACTTAAATTCCTTGCGTAGTTTTGTTACATTGTAGTATTATATTATGTATTCTGGAGAGGAGAACAAAATAATAATAATAATAATAATAATAGTAATAATAATAATAGTAATAATAATAATAATAATAATAATAATAATAATAATAATAATAATAATAATAATAATAATAATAATAATAATAATAATAATAATAATAATAATAATAATAATAATAATAATAATAAGGTGAGGAGGAATCTAGGAAAGGAGAAGCGTTCAACAACAAGATGAGATGGATCTAGTAAGGGCGCGTGTGATCGGTGGAATTTGTGAAAGTTTACATTTTAAGGGCGAGTTGTGCTACATGAACATATGTCGAACCAAACTCGACTTTCATTGTATCGGGGTTCGCACATCTGGACCACAACACTGCAGAAAAGCACACACATATACAAGGTCGAGTGCGCGTATTCGAACTTGTAAAAACGCACCGAACCGCATTTCTACAAAGTAGGTTACCCGGTTCAGACGTCTTGACAGTGCGCCACGCGGCCGACTTGCGCTTCGGTTTCGGATAGCATAGACCTCCAGCTCAACTTCAATTCGGGGGTACAAATATCGGAGGCTGTCGCCCACCTGGAGCTCTCGTCATTCCCCAAACATGACTATCCTCCAGCTCGTCCGATTTTTGGGCATCGTGTGGCAGGGGTACCTCCAGTTGGTCATGCTCCCCGTTCTCAACGCAGTTGGCGCGGTTCTTCCCACCCTTGTCGCTGCCTACACTTTGAGGCAGACTCGGGTGTTTGTGCGTGGCGACCGGCTTGACGCACGTGTGCGGTGGTTCCGTCTGATAACCTCCCTGCCCGAGACCAATTTTTATGAGTATTTGCGCGTCGACAAACGTGTGTTTGTTTACTTGGTTCGCCAGTATCAGCGCAGCCGTTTTGCAACCACTAGGCACCCGGTGCATAACTTTGTGTTCGTCGCCATGGGTCTTAGCAGGCTCGGTCATGGACTGACCTTTCGAGAAATTGGGCTACACTTTGGTTACTCCTACTCTCACTCCCAGAAACTGTTCACTCAGTTCGTGTGGTTCATCAACGAAGTGCTCCTGCCCAAGTGGGTCGTGTGGCCCAACCTGGACATGCTTCAATTGTTCGAGACCGAGTTTCGCATACAACCAGGCATTCCTGGCGTTGTGGGTGCCATGGACGGCACATACATACATTGCCGCGGCATGGGCCCACATTGTGAAGATTTCAGAAACCGAAAGGGCTTTTTTTTCAATTATTTGCCAACTTATTTGTGATAGCATGGGCCTAATTTGAGATTTCTTTGTTGGCTACCCCGGAAGCGTCAACGACGCTCGTGTGTTCATGAACAGCCCTGCACGCATCAAGATCGAAGAAGGCGGGATTCTAGACTACACTCTTGTGGCTGACGCTGCGTACGGCCTAAGGCCCTACATCTACACCCCCTATCGTGCCCTTCCCGGTCGCGCGCTTCCCGACGAGCAGCGCGTCTGGAATTTGCAGCAGTCCCGCACCCGCATGATCGTGGAGCAGGTGAACGGGTGGCTGAAGACCAAGTGGCGCATTCTTGACGGGCGCCTCGAGTGCGACACGTTCCGCGCCCCCCAGGTCGTCGCCGCGTGCATTGTGCTTCACAACATTGACTTGTGCCTCGGTTTCCGACATCGCCAGGAAGAACCGCGCCAGCGTAACACGTGGTGGCTCGAAGACCGTGTGGCCGACGCGCCTCATTTCTCGCCGCACGATGAGGGTTTTACTCCGACCCGTCGTCGAGCTCGCTTGGCGGCGTATTTCTACGCCTCTTGGCGGCTCGGGCATCCTGATTCTTCTCAACCAGGTCTTGGGTACGTTCTCAAAACTCATCGAACTGGTCCCGCATAGCCCCTTTGACCGACTGTGCAATGATTCCTGCAATTTCGGCGCATAAGACAGAGTCGCTTGCGTTCATGTGAGTACGGCTGCCATCTCCCTGAGCATCTGTTTCGTTTTCCTCCTCTGCAGGCGCAGGCCGAGGCCGGCGGGAGACACCTCCGCCGCGGAGCGCAACACCAGGGTGCGCACCGACGATTCGTGACCGCGAAGGGGACGCCGAGGCGGTGGCAGCGGCGGGAAGCCCGACGGGCGCCAGCGAAGCTGGCGGCAGTTCAGACCGCCGAGAGCTCGAGGGCGAGTGACCGGGCGACACACTTGTGGCACGGGACGTTGGCGAGCGGCGGGTTGACTGCGCGCGACGGGGAGAAGCCGCGGAAGCATCCGCTCCAGCAGGCGCCACAGAAGCGGTAGTAGGAGACGCCACATCTGGGATAGATGGGCGTCGCATAGGGGGAGCGGGGTGTGCATTGTTACAAATGTTTCGTTGACGCCAATGGCGCAATGTTGTAATGTTTGCAGCAGTGTAATGGTTAAAAAAACATAGCACAACGCGTATACATGTTTGAGCAATACTTACTAGGTATCGTTCGAGGGGCAGGCGGAGGTGCGGTAGTCGTGGCACCAGGTAAACTAGCCGCGAGAGCCGGAGGGCGCGCATTCGCTCTGTCGCCCAGGAACCTGTCAAACACGTCGAAAAAAATGGGGACCTTGGGAGGCTTACCCTTACCAGAGGGTTTGATCAAAAGATCGGCCACCTTTCGGTATTGGGCCTCCATGCGGAAAACCTTCGCCTTTACGGCGGCAAGGTTATGGCGCCAGCCCGGGTGACGAGCGCGTACTTGCTCGAAGAGCATGACGTCGCGATTCTGGCCTTGGAGGCGGTTTTGGCTACGGTACTGCTCGTCGAAATCGTGGCGGATCCATGCCAGCTGCATGACTTCCTCCGCATGCCATCCCTTTTTGTCGCTCTGCATCGTCGCGTCGTTGTCGTCGTCAGCCGCGTCGTCAATGTCGCAGTCTACTTCGCCTGCATCGAAGTAGGCAAGGGTGTCATCTTCGGCGCCCAGTGGGGTGTTCGGATCTGGAACACGAGCGACGATGGAGTCCAGATCAATGACGTCGAGACGTCGGGAAGCAGCAGGATCTACGGCAGCACGCCGACGTCTGTGAGGCGAAGGAGTAGGGGCGGGGGTTGCGGCCGTTGCGGTGGTTGTAGCTGTTGGCGCGGAAGGATTCGTGGGTGTGGCAGAGACACCAGTGCTGGTGTTTGCGTTAGACATGGCTGCTTCTAGGTGGAGTGGGATGGCTGCAATGTTGCAATTTCAATGTGAACTGTCTACGCGCGATGCGCGAATTCTCACAAATGTGGCTGGGTCGACGTGGCATGGGGGTTGGCGGGAATTTTGGAGTGGTCCGTCAAGACGGCTTTGGAGTCGTTGGGGTATGGGGTGAACGAGCCACGATTCTAGCCACGTGGCCTCCATTCAGTACACGAAGGCTGTGGTGAGTTCGTTGTGGTACTGTTGCTACTCGTGAGTCGCTCGCACATTTCGCCAGATGCTCGAACGTGCGGGAAATCACACACGTGAATGTGAACATGCCGAAGCACGTTCACAACTAAAACTCGAGTCTTGTTCAAGTTTGCAGTTCGCATGTTGCCAACCCCACAGTTGACGAAGTTTCGCTCGTAGCTTTATGCGACATTGGCGAAACTGGTAACCACACAAAGTTCGCACTTTTTTTTGAATTTCAAATCCGACCTCACACGCCCTAAATCCCTCTGGGAGTACCTTCCCTCCAGGAAAAGGCCCTCTTGCTGGCGAGGGAAATTCAACGCATCTCGTCAATTCGATGTGTTGCGAATTCAACGCAAAACGAGCCGACGTGTTGCGATTTTGTAACCAGGCACTGCCAGAGGCGTTCGCGACAAGCCAGCGCGCCAACGAGGCTCGGGTGACAACAAGACACACAACGAAGAAAGCGGGCCGAGCGAGAAAAGCGACACCGTTTGCTCATTGGCGCAGACGTGACGTTGACTCCGTTGACGGAGGGGTGGAATGCATAAAACAGCTATGATTGGTGAGAATAGAACATACGCAAATCAGATATTCAATCAATTAGTGAATGTTTCTTGTGGATACTCTTAGGACACTTTTTTACACCATAGATGTCCCAATTTTGGCTAGGGTTTGCACAAGCTATGACATGACAACATACGGTACTACAGTGAACACGATGTACTGAAAACACACTAGTGTTCCATCTCCCCATCTCGCCATTAATCCATCCGGCCTTTGAGTGTGCGAGTAATAATCTTGTCAAGAGTACTGCACGTAAAGGAAGGAACCCAGGTCATAGGGGTGAGAAACATGAAGACAGGAGAGAATGTGCAGGTGGTCGTTTTGATATCAAAGCGGAACAGAAACATCCATGCACTGTGGTGATTCTCACATGACATGCCAAGTGCCCCCCATCCACTCACATGACCCCCATCCACTCACATCACACCCATCCCATCCACTCACATGACATGGACAGTAGCCCCGAGCATCCCAATCCACAGCCACCAGCAGCGCCTGGGAGATGGTTTCAAACAGCTCCTCCGGCTGAAGCCCTCCCATGACCCGCCAACTGCCCTGGCATCCCACCCACTCACATCACCCCATCCACTCACATGACATGCATGCACTCACATGACATGCATGCACTCACATGACATGCATGCACTCACATGACCCGCCAACTGCCCTCCCATCCCATGCACTCACATGACCCCCATGCACTCACATGACCCCCATGCACTCACATGACCCCCATGCACTCACATGACCCCCATGCACTCACATGACATGAACAGTAGCCCCCCATCCACTGAGCGCGTCCCTGTCCACAGCGGCCAGCAGCGCATGGGAGATGGTTTCAAACAGCTCCTCCGGCTGCAGCCCCGGCTGCCAGTACGACTCGCACGCCCCGAACAGCGACTCGTCTGCCGTCCCCGCCACTCCAAACTCGGGACACTCCTCACTGCGGGGTGGGGGGATGGGTGGGCGGGAAGGCCGAGAGGAGGGGGGGGGGGTGGGGGGGGGAGGGGAGGGAGGGATTGTGAAGGCCGGATGGTGGGAAAGGGGGAGAAGGTGACTCGTGAGTCGGTCTGACAGGACCTTCCAGCCCCGGCTGCCAGTACGACTCGCACGCGCCGAACAGCGACTCATCTGCCGTCCCCACCACTCCAAACTCAGGGCACTCCTCACTGCGGGGTGGGGGGAATGGGTGGGAGGGAAGGGCGAAAAGGGCAAAAAGTGTTGGGTAACTTATGAGTCAGAGTGGTCTGACAGGACCTTCCAGCCCCGGCTGGCAGTACGGCTCGCACGCGCCGAACAACGACTTGTCCACTCCACCGTCCCCGCCACTCAGACCTCAGGGCACTCATCGCTGTGGGGTGGGGGGATGGGAGGGCGGCGGGAGGGAGGGGGGGAGGAGGGAGAGAAAGGGGGGGTTGGAAAACAGGGTTTGGTGAAGGCTGCAAGGTGGGAAGGGGGAAGAAGGTGACTTGTCAGTCAGTCTAAGTGGGTATGAGTGGGTCTGGCAGGGCCTTCTAGCCCTGGCTGGCAGTAGGACTCGCACGCGCCCAACAGAAACTCATCCGCCGTCCCTGCCACTCCAACTCCGGGCATTCCTCGCTGCCGGGCCGGGCGGGGTGGTGTGGAGGGCGGGGAAATTGAGGGTAGTGGAGGGCGGGGAAATTGAGGGTAGTGGAGGGCGGGGAAATTGAGGGTAGTGGAGGGCGGGGAAATTGAGGGTAGTGGAGGGCGGGGAAATTGAGGGTAGTGGAGGGCGGGGAAATTGAGGGTAGTGGAGGGCGGGGAAATTGAGGGTAGTGGAGGGCGGGGAAATTGAGGGTAGTGGAGGGCGGGGAAATTGAGGGTAGTGGAGGGCGGGGAAATTGAGGGTAGTGGAGGGCGGGGAAATTGAGGGTAGTGGAGGGCGGGGAAATTGAGGGTAGTGGAGGGCGGGGAAATTGAGGGTAGTGGAGGGCGGGGAAATTGAGGGTAGTGGAGGGCGGGGAAATTGAGGGTAGTGGAGGGCGGGGAAATTGAGGGTAGTGGAGGGCGGGGAAATTGAGGGTAGTGGAGGGCGGGGAAATTGAGGGTAGTGGAGGGCGGGGAAATTGAGGGTAGTGGAGGGCGGGGAAATTGAGGGTAGTGGAGGGCGGGGAAATTGAGGGTAGTGGAGGGCGGGGAAATTGAGGGTAGTGGAGGGCGGGGAAATTGAGGGTAGTGGAGGGCGGGGAAATTGAGGGTAGTGGAGGGCGGGGAAATTGAGGGTAGTGGAGGGCGGGGAAATTGAGGGTAGTGGAGGGCGGGGAAATTGAGGGTAGTGGAGGGCGGGGAAATTGAGGGTAGTGGAGGGCGGGGAAATTGAGGGTAGTGGAGGGCGGGGAAATTGAGGGTAGTGGAGGGCGGGGAAATTGAGGGTAGTGGAGGGCGGGGAAATTGAGGGTAGTGGAGGGCGGGGAAATTGAGGGTAGTGGAGGGCGGGGAAATTGAGGGTAGTGGAGGGCGGGGAAATTGAGGGTAGTGGAGGGCGGGGAAATTGAGGGTAGTGGAGGGCGGGGAAATTGAGGGTAGTGGAGGGCGGGGAAATTGAGGGTAGTGGAGGGCGGGGAAATTGAGGGTAGTGGAGGGCGGGGAAATTGAGGGTAGTGGAGGGCGGGGAAATTGAGGGTAGTGGAGGGCGGGGAAATTGAGGGTAGTGGAGGGCGGGGAAATTGAGGGTAGTGGAGGGCGGGGAAATTGAGGGTAGTGGAGGGCGGGGAAATTGAGGGTAGTGGAGGGCGGGGAAATTGAGGGTAGTGGAGGGCGGGGAAATTGAGGGTAGTGGAGGGCGGGGAAATTGAGGGTAGTGGAGGGCGGGGAAATTGAGGGTAGTGGAGGGCGGGGAAATTGAGGGTAGTGGAGGGCGGGGAAATTGAGGGTAGTGGAGGGCGGGGAAATTGAGGGTAGTGGAGGGCGGGGAAATTGAGGGTAGTGGAGGGCGGGGAAATTGAGGGTAGTGGAGGGCGGGGAAATTGAGGGTAGTGGAGGGCGGGGAAATTGAGGGTAGTGGAGGGCGGGGAAATTGAGGGTAGTGGAGGGCGGGGAAATTGAGGGTAGTGGAGGGCGGGGAAATTGAGGGTAGTGGAGGGCGGGGAAATTGAGGGTAGTGGAGGGCGGGGAAATTGAGGGTAGTGGAGGGCGGGGAAATTGAGGGTAGTGGAGGGCGGGGAAATTGAGGGTAGTGGAGGGCGGGGAAATTGAGGGTAGTGGAGGGCGGGGAAATTGAGGGTAGTGGAGGGCGGGGAAATTGAGGGTAGTGGAGGGCGGGGAAATTGAGGGTAGTGGAGGGCGGGGAAATTGAGGGTAGTGGAGGGC